GGATCACCGGGGAGAAGGACTGCGACCCTGGAAATCCTTGATGACGGAAGGTTGTCTTTTTAAAAAAATGCAAGTTGGAGGGAGGAGGAGTGCGTCTGGCATTCAAAAAAAAAAAAAAAAAAATGGGAAAGACAAGTTTACTGTCATGTCAGGGCGGTTTAATGGGAATAGATTTGAATGCTGGGGCCAGGGCGATGACGTCTGGTTCATAATAACTGGCATTTGCCGAGTTGCTCTGGCTTTCGGATATTTGGATGGTGATTAAATACACCCGTTTAGGTACTTTTTTAAAAAAAGGTCATCAGGAGCCGTTATCTGCAAACTGATCGCACCTGCATGTTGGAACGCACTCGAGCCTGCTCCTAGACTTTTAAAAGTTTCAGTTCGTCATTTTACGGTTTTTTTTAAAAAATCATCATCATCCGTATCGTCCCAAGCCGTGGTCGACAAAACTTTTACAAAGGGCTGTTCGGCCCCCCAGATGTCCTTTTGGAGTTACTTTCTCGCAGTGTAAATATTAAAGTAGGCTTGCTCTCTGGAAATGGACGGAGCAGAGGAGCCATATTTGTTGCATTTGTTGCATGCACGAACATCTAGATGTTCTTACCCCGGAACAGTATTTTAATAGGTGTCGGTTTCAGAAATTCTGCAGTCCTCCGCCTATGCATCTGGGAGTAACGTTGGGGAGGGAATTTAAGTTTTCGGTTTGCACAGGCCGCAAGTGCAGAAAACCTTTGTGTGTTTTGGAATATATTTGTCTTCATTCTGCGGTATGGGTGTTGTAAAGTGCAAATTTTGCCTAAAAAGGCTGTTGGTAAATTCCTCAAGTTTACCCAGTCCTTCTAAGATCACAGGTAACTGCTGTAATCGACCGCATTTTGGAAGGTATTTTTGTCGGCAAAATGGTTTTATTTCCGAATAGCATGCATCTCGTGCTACATGTTACATCAGTTGCGCATATCTTGATTTCACAGGCTCTGTTGTTTAGGTACCAGTTTTGTTTTGTTTGTTTATTCAAATTGACGTTTTTGAAATTTTTGGATGCTGAAAGTGGTCTTAAATGAATATTCTGAATCTGGTATCTCAGAATCCTTTTTGAAGAGTGAAATGCAAAATAATTACTGGCATTTGCTACCTCATCAGATCTTTTTACAAGAGTAATGGGGGAAGGGAGAGACTGAAAGTGTTAAAGACCCTGGTTTGAAATTGAATAAATGTCCTAGTTACTACATGTTTGAAAGTTGCTTAAAAGACAAAGCTAGTATCCCACTTGGTGAGATCAAATAACTTGTAATTTAAAATTTAAAGTAACCAGTGGCCATTTTAAACTTCACTAATTTCTCCTAGAAGAGTAAATTTTCAATTACTCATAATTTTAAAAGGCATTCTTTGATGGGAAGGGAAATGTTAATATTTGAGTCTTTGAAAATGGTAAACTTTTCCTTTTTTTTTTGGTGTTGCCTGTCATCAGAAGAAGAAAGATAAAAACAAGGTCATAGTCTTAAATCTGTCCAAAGATATAAAGCTGTATTTTTTTGTTTCAATGCCTTAGTCACAAGTATTAGTCTATGCAACCAAAAGGTGAGGAAAACAAAGACTGATAGCTGTTCAGATAAGAAATAATTGCAACCTAAAATGTACAGGTAGTGTGTGATGAGCTGTCTCTTACATTTATCCATAGATTATTGAGTGTTTTGTTTTCATTGTTTCATCATACTGAAACTTAGGCCAAGAAATGTTTAAAAATCAAAACATTGATATCTTCCTTTTTTTTTTTTTTAAGGTAACTTACAAGATTAAAATAAAATTTGGTTGATGGTTCTGAACAGATACAGCTCTTTTACTTGAGGTAAGACCTGGTAAATTTTTATTACTTTGACATAAAAATAAGCTTATTAGGTTTTGTTTTTGTTCTTTGAGAATTTATTTTTCCAGCAAGTAGTGATTATGAATATGAGTAAATATCGGAAATAATTTTGCCAAGCTTTTAAATCTTTTCATGGGATAGAAAGTATATATACATAGCTGTTGTAACTCAACGGTATATAGTTTGAAACACTGAAAGGTCCTTTACGCCTTTGTTTAATTTTGGGAACAAAAAAAGACTAATTATATTTTGAGGAAAACCATGAACCAAAGATAGACTTTTTCTTTTTAGGTCTCTAATACACTGTGCAAACAGTTTTAATCTTTTCAACATGTAAATAAATAAATTTATTGGAAAATTTGAGCTAGTTATTATTTCTACTAATAGATTTTAGGGAAGAACATTTTAAAAATCAATTTTTTGTGAGCATAGATTTTAGTTTTTGTTTCTTTTATATAATAAAAAGTTTTAAAACACTTCTCCCTACTTGCTGTTGGTTGTTACATCAATAAATTGCTTAGAATATTTCTTTTTCCCTCAAAAGAAACCATTTTGAAGACTGAGACCATGGAGTTTTATATCTGAGGATAAAGGAAATCTTTGCAGAAGTCTGTATTTTATATAGCAAGTAAGTAAATGTTTTTACCCACCATCTGAAATTTAGTGCCTACCACAATTTGAGTAGGAAAATATCAGTAAATTTTGTCAATGAAACAAACAGCAGACTGTTTATCTTGAAAAGATGAGAAAAAGCCCCTCAAATGCCATTTCTTTATATCAAAGCTTTTTTGTATTAACATTGAAATAGTTGACACATGTAGTTTCTATCAGAACAGAAAGACATTAAGTACTTTCCAATAAAATGGTGCT